AACTATAAGCTCAAATTACACGTATCAGTTATCAATTAACTTATAAGCTAGGTCTACTTAGCGGAATCTGATTTCGTTCATTTTCATATTTTCATTTTCGTTAGGATAAAAGAACAAAATAAAACATATAATTTTAATTTTAAATATAAAATGTGGAGTAGTTGGAGTTGCACATATGGGCCTAGATGAATGAAAACATTCCCATTTTAAGCAAGTCCAGCCCACAAACGTTAAACTTTACCGAGGGAAAATTTACACTCTGGGTCCCTTTTCAAATATATATTACTCCAGTTTTCATCTGACAAAGGCCCAATGCTGATCTTCCTGAATTGGAGGCCCACTCCGAACACGAGATGACTAAAAAATATCAAATAAAAAGTACCAAAAAATGGCCCATGCAGGTCTCGAACCTGCGACCTTCGCGTTATTAGCACGACGCTCTAACCAGCTGAGCTAATAGGCCGATGTGAAAGAAACTAAAGTGTTATTTAATCAGTATTTAGTATTGCTAATTGATTGGGATAGCTATTGGTTTTTTCGTGATGACATGTCAGACCTCTAAATCGATAATTTATCAATAACGTAGTAAAATTTAAGATTTTATAATATTTAATCACATAGATATTATTATTTTAAGATTTACGTGGATGTCTTTACATTAATTTAACCTATAAATTTTGACATAAAATAACAGCACATTACGTAGGAATTACCATATTGAAAATACAAATTTTGGTATTAGACAGCCCATTCATTATCCGAGTCGATCTATCGGACTTTTCTTAAACAAAATTCAATATTTAAAATATTAAATGTCATACTTTTATTTATATTATTTATTATAGTATGGTATTATCAATTTACAAAAAAATTTATATTTGCCCTTCACCCAGCCCAAACATAAATTAATAAAATTTGAATCTTATAATATCATTAATTGACCTCTTTATATATCTTCCACACAAAAAAAAAAAAAATGACATCTGGGTTAAAACAAAAAAATCATGTCATATATATATAACCAACCCTACATACACTTTTGGGAAATGTTAAGGTTCTGTTACGGAACTATTTCGTCGGGGTTTGTCACTGTTAGATCATCATATAACCGTCAGAGATAGTTGATCTAACGGTTACAAACCCCGGTTACAAACCCCGACGGCGTAGCATCTTCCTATATTTTTTTAATTAAGAAACAAGGTAAATTATTTAAGGCTGGACCCTGAGAAATAATTTAACAGCAATGTGACTGATCATAACAATTCATAATGCAAAAGGCCCCCCCTTTTTTTTTTCTTTGTACATATGCCTTAGAAATCACAAAAGGCCACTTCTAATTCACTTGTCATATCACCCAAATTCATCTTTTGACACCATGCAAAAATTTAATGTGCCAAACATTTCTTGTTATTATGTGATATATTATATAGTCAATGTCACAGGTGGAATCTTGGTACCACACATCATCATCCAACAACCATATGCACATTATAATCACAATTTTTATGTGGTTAAATTTTTTGTATGATTGGTATAAATATATCCAACCCAATTGGAAAATTCAAGTAATAATATTAATCATAATTTATGAATATTTAGTTGGGATGTCATAATAATAATAATATTTTTTGAATACCTACTGAACTCAATCACTTGTTGTCATTACCTTTCAGTATTAAGTTAGAGCGCCAACGATATTTGATTAATTCCAGTTACGTAAATCAACATTTCAAACCGAACAACATCTTTTCTATTTCTATATGAATTTTTGTACCGAAAACATATTTCATCGCAAATAAAAAACTTATATATGAAAATGTACTACACAATTTTTTTTTTAGCTATATTTGTTCAATTATGTCTTGTTAACTTAACCATCCTTATGATAAATCTCAAGATACATGAAAATGATTCAATTTTTTTTAAGGCACCATTGTAGTATGTTGTGCTTATAAATTTCAAGGTATATATGAAAAGATTAATCAAAAGGTAAGTGATGGGGAGTTGTAGTGCTCTTTGAGTGGACAAGAGCAAATGGGTAATGCATATGGAAGCCAACATCACAATTGGGATGTTGATTTGTCCTTGTCATTTTAAAGTACCCATTCATTAGAAAAAAAATATATATATATATATATGCATTATATAATAATAATAATAATAATAATAATAATAATAATAATAATAATAATAATAATAATAATAATAATAATAACAATAAAGTAAATAAAAATAAAAATTAACTATAATTCATTTTTATTTTTTCTAATTAATTACAAGACCTTGATATAATTATTTTCTTTCAATACATTTCAAGGTGTGACATAAATCAAGACTTTATAAGCTACACATCTAAGTATCAAACAAACTCTAATTAACAATTTAGAATTATAACTAAATAAGCAAAAGCGCGTTTACAAAAGCCACCAAAGCCCAGCTTTATTAAAAGCCCAATAACGTTTACATCAACTTAACATTGAAGGATATAAAATGATACGAGTTCTACAGAGAAACGTAATTCCATTTTTGGTACATATGACAACGATTTTTATTTTTTTTTAATATAAAATATTTGACCATTCAATATGAAATGGATGGGCGAGATATATATAAGTTGAATAAATATTTTTATATATATTAATAAATATGATGGGCAAATTTACCAAATTTATTCGTGACTAACACTAGTCAAATGTTCAAATAGACAACACGCGAAACATATTTAGTATGTGTATATAAAAACAATATTAATGCAACTTTGAATAGCATTTGAAAAGTTAAATAAAAAAATTCACTTTTTTTTTTGAATATTTTTTTATGTATAAAGCAACGTATTTCATGTTTTTGTTAGTACTAATTTGCTAGTGCTAATTAAGGGAAATGCTAGGGTGTTATTACGGAAGCATTCCATCGAGTTTTGTAATCATTAGATCGTCATGTAACCGTCAAAGATAGTTGATCTAAGGGTTACAAACTCCGACAGAATGATTCCGTTACAGGACCGTAGTATCTTCCGCTAATTAATACGTACATATCCACATGTTATATGAGTAATGATCCCCTACCCACAGTGGACACAAGTTAATATGTCCACCGCTTATGTGGCATGTACACATTGGTGATATTAATATGTTAAAAAAAATACATTACCAATGTGTGCATGCCACATAAGCGGTGGACATATTAATATGTGTCCACCGTGGGTAGGGGAGCATTACTGTATGTTATATAATTGATGTATATAACTACTTATAACATGGGAAATGTTACGGTCCCGTTATGGAACTATTCTGTCGTGATTTGTAACTGTTAGATCAACTATCCATAACGATTACATTATGATCTAACGATTACAAATCCCGACGGAATGTTTCCGTAAATAAAAATCACGATTATTTAAACTCTACACGCGCATGTGATTAATTTTAATTTTTTCAGTCATGACACGATCTAAAGACAATTTTATGTCTCATTAATTAGTCTGCTTAAATTAATGTGATTGTGGCCATTCCAAATGTAGGCTATGTTTGGTAGACCAATAAGCTAGCTTGTAGCTTATTTGATTAGCTTATAAGCTCCATGTATTTAAATAAGCATCGTTTGGTAGGACGAGCTTATTTAAAAAGCTCGAGTTTATTTGATAAACTTCATTAGGTAGATTTTCAAATAAGCTAGTTGAATTTTTTATTCCAGCTATCTTATCAACTAATTTACCAAACACTTTTAACATATAAGGTAGCTTATCAGCTATAAGTCATAAGTTATAAATTATAAGCTAAAAAATTACTGATAAGCTATAAGCTAGTTTATCAGTTAGTTTTACTTAGCCGTAGTAGTTATTTAAAAATATAACATAACATCACAAATGTGAAATATATAGAAACATTAATTATGAATTTAATTAAACACGTGCCTGAATAAATTAATTAATTGGTTTACAATGAATGATATTTAGACATGGAATTTGTGTTGTTTAATTCATTTTTCCACATATTTTATTGAGCTTTTTTTTTTTAGAAAAAAAAATTGTCATTTTAATATTTTCATACTAAAAATACAAAAATGTGTTTAGAAAGCATTATAAGTTAGCTTATAATTTATATAATTAGTTTATAATTTATTAATTAAAAATTCAAAATTAACTTATCATTTATGATTTATCAACAATTTTTTCAACTAAATTTAACAAAAAAAATGCTTGATATATATATATATATATATATATATATCTGTTTTTTTCATTTTTTTTATTTTTAAAAATATCTGTTGTTTCATGACTTTCACTGGGTAATTATCAACAAACGATGCTCACAGCCAAGACAAGATTTATCGTCCATTGGCCAACCGACACGTGTCCTCTAATTAAGACTGGTAGCGACTGTCTGATAATACACAATGGACGTACGTTTAGGTTAAAACACTGATGGTTAATAACGTGAAGCTTTTCAAAGCTAATTAATTAAAAAAAAAAAAAATGGAGAAAAAACACCAAACCTAAAGTTCCTAGCTAGCTTTACATTTTTCCTCACCGCCATAGATTCTCTTTAAGCTTATTTCATCACAGAGAGACAGAGAGAGAGAGAGAGAAAGAGAGAGAGAGAGAGAATCAAATAGAGCTCGAACAAAGAACAAACTCACACACACACACACACACACACACACTAAAAACGCACACAGTTTCACAATACATAAATAGAATTTGTCCCCCTTCCTCAGTTTTCTGTTTTTAGGGTTTCAAGATTGTTGCTTATTGGGTCAAAAAAGGCAAGAAATTTCTGGGTTTTGTGGGGTGAGAGAAGCTGAATCAGAAAGAGACCTAAGGTAGAGATCAGGAAAAAGGGCTTCTTTTTTTTTCAATTTTTTTTTTTTTTTTCTGTTTCTTGATTTTTAGTGTGTGTTTGTGTGGGGAAATAATAATAATAAAAAAATAATAATAATAAAAAAAAAAACCCACAAGAAAATTAGTTAAAAGAAGAGATTTTTAGGTGGGGAAAAAAAAGATGGGTAGAGGGAGGGTTGAGCTGAAGAGGATAGAGAACAAGATCAATAGGCAGGTTACATTTGCAAAGAGAAGAAATGGGCTGCTCAAGAAGGCTTATGAACTCTCTGTGCTCTGTGATGCTGAGGTTGCTCTTATCATCTTCTCCAATAGGGGCAAGCTTTATGAGTTTTGCAGCTCATCCAAGTATAACATTCCTCTCTCTCTCTCTCTCTCTCTCTCTCTCTCTCTCTCTCTCTCTCTCTTTCTCTCTGAGGATCTTGGTCTTGATTTTGATTTCTATGTGAATTTGTAAAAAAAAAATAAAAATTAATTGACCTAATTATATATATTTGGCAAGCTTTATTCTTTCTGTTCATCAATCTCTCTATATATGTCACTTGATTTTTATTTGAGATTGTAAGAAAATAAAAATAAAGTAAATTGACCTAATATATGTATATTCAGCTAGCAAGCTTGTTTCTTTTTGTTCCTTTCCTTTTTCTTTTTCTCTCATCTATTTGCTTTTATTTATTTCATTCTGGTTTTTAGGGTGGTTATTAAATAAGTTACTGTGTGATCCAAGTTTGGAATCTTTGGTAAAAATATTAGGTTAATTTATTTCAGTTTTGTATTTTTAGGGTTTTTTTTTTCCCTCCATTATTAGCTGTTCTAGTTAAAAGAGAGATCTTTTTTTTTTTTTTT